AATATGATTGGGGATTAACACCTCTTTAAACACTCTAAGCCCATTTGTGATGAAAACCAAAGCTTTAATGACTTAAGCTTGCCTTAGGGGAATTCATCCGTATACTCTTTAAAGTAAAGTATCAAATTGATTAAGTAACCTATCCTTAGGATAATTGAATTGTCAAGCTTCACTGGGCAATGGGGTAGTCACATTCTAACCCTAGATGATTAATGGAAAAATATGATGAAGTTCTAAATGAACTCGAAATAATTCAAGAGAGCCTCGAAGTAGTTTAGGGTAATTCCTCCGAATACTATGAAATATTTTGGATATTTTGAAAGACAAATTGAACTTGTCATATTTTGTTCTAAAATTATTTTGTTCTAAAATTGTTCTAAAATCATCCACTAAGGTCTTCCGAGACTTGATAAAGTCATACTTTGGGGTATACCTTCATCTACTCCTGCAATTTAAATTCTTCACAAAATTGTATACACACTGTCAGAACTAACCTTTCAGGTTGAGGAACTAGAAGAAACGACAAGTACGTTTTTAAATTATTACATTTACCTTTCTGTACTTTTTGTCTCGAACTTGCATGTTAAACAATGATGTCACCCTGCATGTTAAAATCAAAACTACTAGGATAGTCGTAAACTACTAGGATAACCACAAAACGAAAACTAAAATCAAACAAAATAAAGTTCACCTCCACAATATTCAAAATATAAGATAACTCAAAATTTAATCACATACATCACAAAACAAAAATTGTAACTAAATTAAAACGTCTATATCGGATGATCAGGAATCCCTCGGAGGAGGTAACCTATGGTTGCTAACGGGTCTAAATGAAAGTTTGGAGCTCATTAAGTTGAGTTTAGTAAATTCATTTAGACTAAGCAATCCGAAAGAAAATAGTGGTGCTGGAATGAGGGAACCGTAGGATCATAACAGATGTCACTCTAATCAATTTTAACATTCCCCATAAATTTTAAATAACCATGACCTTAGGAAACATTTGACTGGACATCGTGACTCAACACATTAGAAAACATAAACTCATCACGACGAGGAGCTTGAAGCTAACATTATCGGCAGCACGTCCATCTTCAACTGCAAAACATGTCTACATCAGCTAAACCATTCTCTCCTTAAAATTAAACTACCAATCCATAGGACTTTGAGATTGTTTGCTTATGCAACATAAATCCTCAACTTATCTTTAGGCCTTTGTATGGTTCTGCTATACAATATAAGCCTTAACTCGTCTTAGGATTTTGATGTTGTTGTTCGTTACGACTTAAATCCTCACATCTTCTAGGCTTTTTATGTGAACGTTTCACACAAATGTAAGCCCTATATAATGAAATTGGAAGGATGAAACATTTAAATATTTCTCCAATAAATTGAAGCCAAACTATAGGATAGCTTGGGAAGTCACTGAGACTCTTCTCCGGATCTATGAAATCCACTAGTCTCTTCTTTCTTTAGATTCAAAAAATAAAATGTTCTAAATTCGAGTCATTCCCCTTTCACACATCTTTATCTGATCTCTTTGAAAAGTCTTATCCTTTGAAATTCCTGAAGATAATATCCCATGATTTTTATCAAGAGTTTTCTTAGGTGACTTCATTTATCTAAGTTGTAATTAACTATAAGGGTTTGCCTTTATAGGAAACTTTCAAGAAGTCAGCTTAATATAAACCCTATTTAATATTTCATACTAAATAAGGGAACTTATCGGCTTATAAATAAAATGGTAGACCAAATGGACGTGATATACGGATGTGATATATTTTTTAGTTTATTTGATCGAGCCTCACACTCAAATCTTGTGTTTATCTTTTGGGATAAATACATGGCTTGAGGTGTAGTGCTCTTTCATTTAAACATTGAAAGATATGGGATCAGTTTGGTTTCATATTTTTTCTAAAACTATATATATATATATATATGTGTGTGTGTGTATATATATATATATATATATATGTAAATTAAATGTCTTCCCGAAGCGGGCGACGTGGTTCCGATTCCGGCAACCGACAACTTTCAATGGGCCTCCCCCTCCTATATGTGTGTGTGTGTATATATATATATATATATATATGTAAATTAGATGTCTTTCCGAAGCGGGCGACGTGGTTCCGATTCCGGCAACCGACAACTTTCAATGGGCAACTCCTCAACTTTTAGTGCCGACAACCAACTCTTTGTAAAATGGCGTTTCAGGCGTCAGCTCTCTGTAAAGTGACACTTTAAGCACCAGATTCACAAAATTCGTTATTTTGGCTCCAAATTTTGTCATTTTTGCTACTTTTGCTCCAAATTCCTAAAATTTATATACCAGCAAAAAAACATGAAAATACCCTTCTTTAAAGTACAATATCACAAAAAAATAAGCATAAAATGTATACTTAAAATAACACATTATTTTGGTATATCAAGATGGACATTCAAAACCTGGAGCAAAGAGTGAACCTCAATTAAACCATTAATGAAAAAACAAAATTCGACGATAGTTTGGGATCTATAAGAATCCACTACCATTAGGACATGACTTTGAAATTCCTTCTTTGACAATAACATTTAAAACTTTCTGAGGACAAGTCACAACCTTAATCGGGAGTTTCCTTAAGCAAATTGCTTAAGATGTAAATAACTGTAGGGGTTTGCCCTAATAGGAAAAGCGAACCCCAGAACATGTATAACAAATTGAATATCTTGTTATGGGTATTTTTTTCATTAAATTTTCTTCATGGGTATGCCTCTAGAGTGTATTAACAAGTGAACTTAAGAGCAATTTATGTGAAGTCCACTTCATCAAAGCTTCCCCACTTGTTTCTTTTATTTGTCCCCATAATTGCAAGTCTTAGCCCTTCGATCTTCTCTTTATTCAGTTCATCCACAAGATTAGAGAGAGGAGGCTATTTAGAGAGAGGGATGATACAACATAAGATAAGCTAGTGACTCCACGAGAATAACACGACGACAACAAGAAAGACGGTGGCCTCCCACACCACACCGATCGAGGTAGCAGCGATCTGACAGGCGCATCATATGCACCTAGCTAGAATTAATGACTAGGGCTTACAAAACACCAAAACCTAACCCTTTGAGACTAAAGGGAATACCTTAGAAGGATGTAACTTATGGTTACTAAGGAAGATATTTCAAACCTCCCAGAGACTATGAATCCCTTGAGCCACGACATTTAAAAGGGATTCCTAGTTATGAGGCTGGTAATAATTGACGAATAACGATTTTCCACAGACGACAGAAAGCCATGAACATCTTGATAGGGTAATCATTTCCAGTGTATAAGTTAGTCCACCTGGTTGGCTTCTTTATAGAGTTTAGGTTTGACTTTTCATTAGAAACCTTTCTTACCTTTCTTTATAGTATATGTGTTCTGATTAATTCATCTCTATCTTTTTAAATATCAGTGATTCACCTTGTAAACCCTTTCTCATCTGTTCAAAGAGCATTTCAAATCCTTTTTAAACAATCTTCCGGATATGAGACCTACTTTATTGGATAATCAGGTTTTCTTACCCCTTGAGCTTAAATCCTTGTAATCGTTTCATAATTCGACTCATTATATTAATCAAAAGTTTTCTTTAGGGTTTTTTATATTAAAGATGTAATTAACTATGAGAGCATGTCCTTGTAGGAAGTAAGATCCCATAATTAAAATAAGTCTTATCTTACACTTGTAAGGTTAAAAAAAAAAGGCTTGTTCCATAAACCAGAAAATGGTTTTCATCTTTCGGGTGGTTAGATCCATTTATAAGGTAATATTATCTTCCTTTTTTCATCATTCGGGAGGTTAGATCCATTTATAAGGTAATATTATCTTCCTTCTAAAGAACATATTATTCTGCCGAATACAGTGCCTGATCATCTAGATAAAATGTCTCTTGAAAGGCACTATGGTGTTGGCAAACAAAAATTTCCCCAGCATTGGTGTGAGACATGTAATATGAAAAGTTTAAAACACTATTTGTGTAAATCCCCCTATTAAATTTATTTATTTAAGGAAATGAATTTGACTATAAGTTTTTAAAAATCAAGCTTTGAATGATTTTGAATTCGATTTCATAAGTTTTAATACAAATAAAATATTGACGTTTGTATATCATGTGGTAAAACTTTTATTATTCATTTACCATCGATAATTGGACTATTAAAGTGCGCCTGACCTTAGAAAATATATTAAAATCTTTTAGAAAAATTTATAGGACATACTTATAACTTAAAAATATTATAACACATAACTAATTGTTTAGGAGTCGGTATAATGTATAAATTGAACGATCTTGCGCTAGTTGGATTCTTCTTGATGAAACATTTGATTTGGCTTATGTTTACTTGATTAAGAATCAATTTGATCTTTCAACTATGCCTGAAAAGTTCTCATAAGTGATTTAATGATTTGTTCTAGGCTTGATTTGACTCAAATTGAACTAATTTTAATATTTTTAGATCAGTCTCATTCAGTTTGACTGTAAGTTTGCTGAAATCAGAATTTTGAATGACTTTTAATCAAAATTTAAATTTTTCTTTCTAAAATAATTATCTTGAGACCCCTATCAATCATACCTTGAAAATCGTGTTGGTTGATGGGCATTTTGTTGACGGGGACATCAATTAAAAAATTATTTTAATCCATTCAGCCAAAAAACTATTGAAGTACTTAGATAACTCATGATGATTTTAGCATAATTAGTATTGAGATATTTGAAGAAGAATCCAACATAATGTACTCTAATGGCAAACACTTATTCATTCTGGACGGGCAGCTTTACATGACTTAACCAAGTCAATTTATTCACAATCTAAATATTTCATCTTTGCTACAAAATATTCAATAAAGGAATATCATTACTTCCAATCTCCAATCGGTTCATGAATGTAACGAACAAAAAAAAAAAGATAAAATTAGAAGAACATGGAACTCTACCAACCAAATAATCAGTCATATTCTTGTACAGAAATCAAATAAAAAGAATCCAGTCATTTCGTCAACAAGGAGGCATATATGATGGCGGCGGCAGCATCCCTTCATCCTTCCCTTCCCCGTTCTTCACTATGAGCACGGTATCCATTCCCCAGCTCGAATGCGTGTCAATATGGCAGTGCATGAACCAAACTCCTGTTCCACAAATTATTTAATTAGAACATCCACACCACACTCACGAAAAATTATTGCGTGCAGAGTCTGATCAGGACCGTCAAAAATTTTTCAATTGACCCATTTCAACAAAAAATAAAAGTAAAAGGATGTATTTCAATGGTTCAGATCGGACACCTCACTCAAATTCACCTAAAATAAAAAAACAAAAAATTACCTGGATTCCGAGCCCTGACCCACACCACACCCACGAAAAATTATTGCGTGCGGTGTCTGATCAGGGCCGTCAAAAATTTTTGAATAGGCTCCATTCCAAAAAAAAAATGTATTTCAGTGGCTCAGATCAGACACCTCACTCAAATATACGTAAAATAAAAAAATAAAAAAAACAAAAAATTACCTGGATTCCGAGCCCTGAATCTGATGGCCGCCCACCCACTCTTTGGCACTCCAACCGTGTTCTCATAAGGCGGATCAACCAAATTATAACTCAACGGATCCTTGCTCTCATCAAAATTCCCAAACCCTCTTCCCACCACATAGAAACTGTACCCATGCAAATGCATGGGATGGTTCTCCGACGCCAGCAAATTAGTCCCCTGAAACACAATCTCCAAACTCCTATTATACTCCACAACCCTCACCTCCGTCTCCCTCCCCGGAAACAGGTACGATCCTGGCAGATTCTCCCCAGTAAAATTGAATTTCACCGGTGGCTCCGCCGGAAACCCCGTCCCATACACCCCGCTTATGTTCTCATAATAAGCCTCCAGTATATCTCTGTTCCCAGTTTCAAAGCTTATGTTGTTAAGACTCGCCGCAAACCGGTCATAATTCGCCCCGGTGCAATTCCTTCCCGGCTCGCAGGGCAGCAGATTTACAGACACCGTGATGGTTATCCGCTCGTCTACGGTCTCCGGTAGGCCCGCCGGCGCATCCAGAGATCTTAGCCCGGCGACGAAATCCGTAGCAGCTTTCGTGTCGTTAAACTCGGGGAGGGATGGCAGCAATGGCGTGTCCGTTGTCATGTTGTTGTATTGCAGAATGGCGGTAGCGGTAGTTACATCGTAGGGAATATCCGCGCTGCCGTAGGAGCTCGCTGCCATGTAGAAACGGGTGCCATTGGTGGCGTTTGTGTGGAGGAGGATGTCCATGGTTTGGCCCGGGGTGATCATTATGTAGTCGGTGGCGTATGGTTTGGTGTAGCTGGCGTCGGTGCCGACGATCGTGAGGCCGTGGCCGGCGATGGCAAAGAAGAGCTCGTTGTTTAGAGCGGCGTTTATGACGCGGAGGAGGTAGGTTTTGTTGCGCTCGACTTGAGCCGTGAAGGTGTCGGATGAGGAGCATGAGTAGATATCTCCGGGCTGGCCGTTGATGGTGAAGGCATCGGACAAAAGTGGTGTTCCGCCGGTTGAAAGCGCGTCGGCTAGAACTTGGCTCACGTTTGCTTTCCACCACTCGGCTGCATCCATCATTGTTTTTTGAAAAAAAATAATTAAAATTGATAATAATGCTAATTAACATTATGGTTTACTAAAAAGTTTAGTATTATATGCATATCTAAATATGAAAGCTTAGGTGTTGCATTAGATTTGTGCGTTAAGTTACTTAAATGCTTTAAATAATGATAGAATGTTTGAATTACTTACCAAGAATGATTGGGATTTCTTTGTCGGGGATAGAGAAGGGGAAGGTTGTGCCATTTTGTGGGTAGACGATGACGGCACCGTGGACTGTGGCGCGGTCCCAGTCACTGTGTGCGTGCCACCAAATGGTGCCTTCTTCTTCGCTAAATATTAGGCGGTATGTAAAGTTTGAACCAGGCTGGATCGGGCATTGTGTCACGTACTCGGGTCCATCAAACCATGGGTTTCTGGGTTGGCTTAGTCCGTGCCTAAAAAGAGTTATAAAGTTTACAAATATTATTTTTTGGCTATATAAGTAATAAGAGTATCTTAATATGAGGATATGTGTAGCAAATTTATTATACCAATGAAGGGTGATGTTGTAATCTCCTTGGTTCATTACATTGACGAGTATGGTATCGCCTTTTTGAGCGTATATTGTTGGCCCAGGAAATTGACCGTTTACCGTTAGAATATTCTTTGTTTCACAAAGACGGGTGTAAGGAGTTTCTTGAATCTGAAAAAAAAAAAGAAGGAAACATATACCCATCACAAATGAGATCATTGGCTACTTCAATGCCTATTATTAATTATAGTTGATACATTTGTATGAGTACTGGTTAACATGCTATTCAAGGGCAGAAAAAAATGGATTATCTTATGAACACAACTTGGCATGCAAAATTTTATTATTGCTAAGTTTGTCAACTATTTAATAAAAAAACAAAGTCATATTTACTTTCATACCACCTAATTTCTGTGTATTTACATTGTATCTAAAACCAATGCTTTGTTTTTTTCAATCAATCTCATGAAAATCTATCGTATCACATCAAAATATTACACTTTTTACTCTTAAAAGTCGCACTTTTGCATGCATAATTAAAGTTATATATATATCTTCATCATTAAACTTGTGGTCTTTTTTTTTTTTTTTTTTTTTTTTTTTTTCATTTTACATGTACATACACAACATTTTTCATCACACGAGTTTCAAATGAAATAAGAATTAACCTGCATGAACATGGACATAACACATATATTTTGTTTTATATGAGGTAGATCCATAGGGCTTATACTTATATCCTAAACATACTTATAAACCCATACATTTCTATATATATTAAGACATATACAAACATACACTTAGGTCCATATATATATATATATATATATACTTATATGTAAAAATTGGACTTCAGATTTCAGACATGTAAACAGATGAACAATCAAGTAGTATGCAAGAGTTACTTACGATGAAATCATACTGATTAGTGCCAGCCCATGCTTGACAAACCAGCAGCCCAAAAAACAGCAAAAAACTTGCAAACTTCATGATTTTGCCTATTTTTTTATAGAAAAGCTGATAAATATGCAAGAGAGAGGGAGAGGGAGAGAGGGAGAGAGAGAATTGAGGTAATGGAATTTAGAAGAAAAGAGAGAAAGAGGGAAATAACTAGTAGTTCTGTCTGATTCTACTATGGATTTCTTCCACCATGTTGGTGGCCTTATTTATACACACAGTATTCAAACTCTGTTAGAAGCTTCAAAACCTTAATCGAAATGTCAATCTTTTCGGTTCTCTTTAACCATCATAAACGCGTTCATTTTCCCGCATATTTTTCGTTTCATGCCCGTCAAACCTGCACGTGTAAATGTACTCAAAAGTTTAGGGTGTCAGATATGTAAATACGTAAGAATTGTGTGGTATTTATGTGATTTCATCAAATCTCTCTTGCTTTTACTGTATCAAAAGCAAGCAAATCTTCAAGTACAATGCAAGTAACCGATGAAGAAAATTTAACATTAAATTGTATAGCTGTGATTAGTTAGATCAATAAATGCTTACATCTTTATCTATCCCTAATGATGCAGTCTTCTGAATCCAATTCATTACAATTAGTCGGGCCATGAGAGGAATGATTTTTAATTAATCAAATTGACTATTTTTGTAAATAAAAATATTACAGCGGCTCTTTGGGATGACTTGAAGATGCATTCATTTGTGGACTAAAAAGTCTTATCAGGTTTAATATTATAAAATAACAAATGGTGGAATGGACAGTTGAAGACTTGGTCTGACTAAAAAAACTAAAATTGGAAAAATTTTGTTAAAAAATTGACAAAAATATTTTGTTATTTATATACATAGGTAGATAATCATTTATTTCCCTTTTTATTACAAACATTATTTATTTATATAATTGAATATTGACTATATTTGGAACTTTTACGTGGATAACTCACAATTTATATATATATATATATATATATATATATGACATTGAAATATTTAACATTAAATTTAAAATTGTACTATTACAAATATTTTAAAAGTCATATACAAACTATGACGCATAAAAGTTATAAATGCAAATATGAAATTTTAAGTATTAGATAAGTAAATACATAAGAAATGTTTGATATGTTTGTAAGTTTCCCTTGTTTAAATCTTCAATATTGAGTACTAATTAAATTTTGTACTTCAACAAATTATTATTATTACTTTAATTTAATCTTAGTTTTAATTTCACCTTCGAGAAAATTTTTTTAATTATAGATCAAACCTTTGCCCATTATTCTAGAAAAAGCGATGCTTCCAACGAAAGAACTACATTCAAAGTCTTCTATATATATATGTGTGTATATGAGCTTATGATTAAATTCGTTTAGAATTTTCAATAAAACTATTCATTAATTTTGTTTTGATAAAAATTTATCAGAGGTCAGCATCTACATTGATTGAGGGCCTGTTTGGTTCACGCTTGTTTGGGGCAGTTTATAAGTGCGGGGGCGTTTTTAAAAACGCCACGGTACCATTTGGTTCACGTGTTTTGCCTACTTATCCGAAAACGCATTTCAATTTTTACACTAAATGCAGGTCGCGGGTCGAACCCCCTCGGTGGACTCGCGGGCAACGTTTTAGGATAAGTTATTTATCCTAGAACGCACATGCTACCCCAAATACACTCTATAAAAAATTGAAATATTTGCATATATACCACTTATTTTTATGTATTTACAAATCCAACACCTATATCAATTTCTAGGCACACTATTCTTTCTATGTATGAAAAGATATATTTCCCTTTCAGATAGTTAAGAAAATGTCTTTTTTTTTTTTGTGTTATAAAAGATCTTGGCGGTATAAATATAAAAAACAAAATTTAGGTTTCGATATGTAAATACTCGAAAATTGGGTGGTATGTATGTAATTAAATACCCCAAAAAAATTATAACACCGAGCAGCTAGCTTTGGAGGAATTCGAAAAAGAACATATTAAGGGATATTTTGACAAATATGCGTTCTCTAATTACATAGGGTAAAAGTATTTAGGCGGCTCCTTGCGCATTCACTTGTCGAATGAAAAGTCAATTCCTTGTTGTGGATTGAAAGGGTGGAGCAGTTGAAGAAATAACTAGTTTTCTGGGAAATTGGGATCAACTTGCAAAATTTGACCAATGTAATATTGTAATTTATCATTATAAACATTATGCAATTCATAATTCTACATATGATTTTGATAATATTTGCATTAACGGATACGAAAAAATGTAGTAAAATCAGAGAATTAAATTTGAATTCCCGTTGAACATACGGTGGACCAAATTAAAGCCAATACAAGTTTACAGAGGAGTACATTAAGGGTCTGTTTGGTGCAGCTGCAGCTTATCCAGCTTATGTTGATAAGCAGTTTATCTTGATAAGATTTGTATTTGCAGCTGATCCTGATAAGTTGTTTGCTTATTTGGTTTGTGCGTTTGTTTCTGGATAAATGACCATTATGCCACTAAACTGAATAAACTGTTAAGCTGTTTGGTTTCTGCGGTTTGAAAACAGCTGATTTATAACTATTTGTAGAAAAATGATCATTTCGACCACATGTAGTCAACAATAATGTAATGGAAAAACATTTAATATACTAAAATCCAAAAAAACACTACATAACAGTTCAAAAAAAAAAAGATGTGCTCTTCACTCAAGGGAGACTATCTTCATACCTAATAAAAAACAAACAAAATATAACAAAATTACAACTAAAATTATGATAATATTCATCTTAAAATGCAGAAGGGTCATGTCTAGAGTAGTGTTCTTTGGTTGACATGCTGTCGAACCTCGATCAAGACTGTCCGATTGGGATATTGTCGAGTTCCGATCACTATGGGCAGTGAAATAGGTTGGAATGTCTGCCCATCTGAAGAACTGACACCTAACCGGATTGTTTGCCCATCGTGGGCACATGTAGAATCATTGACCGTAGCTATGTGGTTGGTGCGGTGTGAGCAACATAGTAGGCAGTCCACACGGAAAAGCACTTGCCTGAAGTTCCCTGAAAACTTTGAGCTCATTTCTTCCTATAAAAAAAAGCAAAAGAAAGACATTAGTGATTTATATGTATTTACACATCTAACCCATAATCTTCAATCTATTTTTCATAAAAAAAAAAGAAATATTAGTATTTTTTGTGATGTGTGAAATCATGATATAAATGTAAAAATGCATATTTTTGAAGAGCACGAGACACCTAGGAAAGCAACGAGATTTAACACAATTGATATAATGCCCTTCCTCGTGATGGCTTGCTCCCCAAACCGACTACTAACTCATCACATCTATCAAAAAATACATAAATGTAAGTAGTAAACAGTCTGGATAGGTGTCTTGCATAGCTGCAGTAGTGTTTATGTACTTTTGTTAGTGTTAGCTTTTTGTGCTTTGCTTTTGCATTATTCTTGTTTTTAATTGATTTATCATTTGGCTTGTAGGAATTAGAGGAGAAGAGAAAGCGGCCTGCCAAGTTTGCCTACGAGAGGAAGAAACAATTGGCAAAGCTATACTCCAAGGCCGAGAAGACTGCAGAAGAGAAACTTGGTTCTGAAACTCAAATCCTTGCGCCAATCAAGTACGAAATGTGTTCTATCCAAGGCTGAGAAGACTCCAAATGTTATTTTTTTTCTCTTTTTCTATTCTAACCATTGGATTCCATTGGATTCCTTGAAATTAGAAAATATCTTGTGAGAAATAATGAATATCAGGTTCATCATTCACAAGCGGCAGCCTAGTAGGATTTTATTACAGGTATTTATAATGAAGGTTAATTATGCATGGGGCATTTACATACATACCATCCAATTCCTATATATTTATATAGATAACACCTAAACTTTTACTACTTACATTTATGCCACCCAAAGCTTTCATGTCACATAAAAAATACCAATTTTATAACTACACTATAAATCACCATCAAGCCTCTCAAACCTTCATAATCGTAAATGAAGCAACTTACAGCAACATTTTATAAAGCATATTTATAAATCATATGTAAATGCAAGGTTCCCACCCTACGGTATATTTATAAATCATATACTGGAAGAACTTGAAGCACATTTATAAATCATATGTGGCCAAATAAAAATATATAAATCTGCAACAGTATAATTTTGCACTGGAAGTTGAAGCCATTACTGGAAGAAATTGAAGCCATTAGTGGAGCTCGTTTCCAATAAAAAATAGAAAATTTATGGAAGCATCGAGGAAGTCATTGTCATTCAAAACCTTGCTTCCGTTCGCTGGAATTTTAAACCCTAATGTCCGTAATCTATCTACGATGCCATGGTGAGCAAAAAAGAGTTGAATCCAGCAATGAATTGGCGATGCATGAGCTGAAGATTGCATTTTTTTGCTTGGAAACAGATTCTGGAGTGCAATCTCCTTCACATCATAAAACACATCAACTCTCCCTCCCTCCCACTAGCTAGCACGCTCGCACCCACAATTGCATTGTGAACACACATCCATTAACATGCAAATAATGTGAGCTGGACGAACAACTAATGATGTACTTTATTTAGGCAAGGATTTGGAATTTGAAACTTACAAAATTTCTTATCAGCTCAAATTAGAAACAGCTTGATCAATAAGAATAGGAACATAAACAATCAATCATTAGGGATATCATAAACAGTAAAACTCCTTCCAACAGTATCCAATGACCAAAATTTACAAACTCGAAGCCAATACAAGACAAACACAAAAGTGGAGAAACTATGGATAAAAAAAAATGAATTGTTTTCCCTGTTTATAATTTCATATTCGAAAATAAAGTTAAGTACCCACGAGAAACAACGGCATGATCGAGCAATTTCGTCCGCTATCTGATCTCGCAATGCCGCCATTGAGAACTGAGCACACAACAAGATTTTCATGAATTTTCGGCAGCCTTAGCCTATTAGAAATAATGACATTGCCATCGATTCTTGAAAAAAGCAACGGCTATGGTTTTCGATCAAGACTTATTTGTCGGTTCTTGCATGGCAAGAAACCGATGGTTGCCCGTCAGCATGACGAAGAACCAATGGTTGCTCGTCAGTTGAAAATGTGATGGGCAATGCCTGTTGTTTTTTGAATTTTGAAAGCCTGTCAAAAAACCATCAAATAGTTGTTACTGAAAAAAAAAAAAACATCCATTGTTTCATTAGAATTTTCATATATAATTGCATCATAAAAATATGAGAAATATATATCACACAATCTAATTTATTTATCTGCATAGCTAGTAAACTCGAACCATATGAGGACAATCACAAATTGAAAATAAATGCAATTATAATGTATTAAACAATGAAAAATGAGATAATATGTACATAACTGATACATAATTCCACGTAAATGTTTTGTTTTTCTCATAAGCAATAATAATTTTTTTTGCCAATTTAGACATATAGACAATTGAATATATTTTTTGTTGTATTTACAATAAGGTTGGGGAAAATTATTAGTTTGAGATGTAAGCGCTCTTTTTTAATCCTTGTATTTAAACATCACTATCATATTCATGATAATAATCATCACTTTCAACGAAATGATCAACTTAATTTTTATAATAAGAAAATTCCAACACAAATCAAATACATATAGTTGTTCTATCAGTATGAAAATTAACGCTAACTAATATTTGATATCATTATCGCGGTCAATAAAATATTTCTCATTGAGAAAAATCATGATCACAACTTATTTACATATAAAACTTCTCATATTTTCCATTGAAATTGTTAAGGCTTGGTAGTGATCTATGCCTGATATTTAAATTTATTTGATAAGATTTAGAAAAGGTAGCATGATTGATGAATAAACACCTCTAAACACTACAAGCACAACTTTAGTGGTGGGTACAAAATCTTTAACGTCCTAGGGGCATCCACCTACATTACTAAAACTTGGTAGTGATCTAGGCCTAATATTTAAAGTTGAAAACTGTTAAGGCTTGGTAGTGATCTAGGCCTGATAATTAATAATACTCCTTTTTCACTCCTATCACTTCTCACCTAAAAGAAAAATATACAAAATATCTTTCACTAAGGCGCAATATCTCAAAAACTGCATAAAATTGTGTACAAAAATTTTATATATTTTAGGTGTATCAAAATCCCCAAACTTAAAATATTACTTGTCATTAAGTGACTCTTCAATCTTTAAAAACTAAATAAGTACATGATATATATGAGTTTCCCTATAAGTTTCTAAAATTTTGTTGTAGAAATATAGTAGTTCAATTTAAAAGAAATATCAATAAATGAGACCAACTTAAAGTTTAGAAATTTTTAATGTTAAGAAATATAAAAATATGAGCTTTTATCTAGTTCAGAAATATTGTAGATTCTCCAAATATAGAGTTTAGACATTTTATCATATCCACTTAAAAATTTTTGTTAAGCATAACTTTATTGACCATATTATATCCTTAAGCTTAATGTTTTCTTAAGTCTTATACTTTAGAAAGATCATATGTATAACCAATTTTTAATTAGGCACTAATCCTCAAGCTTCACCTCCCTTTTTCAATTTTTCTTTTTCTTTTTCTTTTTCAGGCAAGGATTACTATATTTAGATAGGTCTTTAATGATTTTGAATTTCAGTCTTACTTTTCTAAAACAAAGAGTTGATATATTTCCTTTACTTAAAAATATAACAATAATTTTAAAAATTATTTTCAATCAAAGAAATTTAAGTCTTGAAAATAAAAGCCTAAATCTTCAAAACTTTTTTTTCAAAAATGCAATTTCTCCTATTAAAAACAGTTACACTATACTTAACATTTTCCACACTAAAAATTTTTAACTTTAAGTTTTTCTTCATTAGTATTAATTTTATCTAAATTCTCTTACTTATTTCTATATTCAAAATTTTACTTCCCTATTATAACTTCATATACATGATCATTTTTTTTTTTCAAATCAAAATCAAATTTATTTGAAGTACAATTGAGAACAATTAAATATTTAAGTTCATTAGAAAATTCTTCATCCCCCAAACTTAAATTTTTAATAAAATAAAACATTTTAGCAGCATGTATAAATAGACAGGAATGAAACTAAAAATAACATGTTTGCAGGAATTTTATATTCTAAATATGCAAGTAAAAAAATTAAAAATAGAAATGAAAATTAAATTGATCAAATTTTAATTTACTTAACATATAGAGATTCATTGGATTTCTATGAAGTGGAGGATATCATAAAAATAAACAAACACACTAACAAACATACATAACTGCAACATAAAGTAAAATATCTGATAGTAAATTAAAAATTTTAAACATGCAACTTTTAAGTAACAAATCAGCTACATTCTAAACCTTCTCAAGATCCAGAATTAAGTTCAACACAGACTAACTAACTATAATAAACAACACATCTAACACAATTACTACCACAAAACATAATAACTAATAAAAAAAACACAAATACATCACAGTAGTGTTTGACGAAATAAAACACAATAAAACTAACAGTTTCAACAAATGTACCTCTAAACACAACAAAAAGTACAGCATAAATGCACCATCAAAAGTTCACAACAATACATAAACTAAAAATCAAACAAAACTATAGATCCAATCTGAACATCCTCATCCTTTGCATCACTCTCATCACTATGGCAAGTAGTTGCAGGCTCATATGATGGATATCTCAGATATTGAGGAAAAACTACATCTTGGTTACCTCTCGTGAGGTTCTCCATAGCTGAGTTGTATTCTTCCTTATAATCACTACGTCTCCTCATGTATCCATCCATATGCTCTGCAAAATTTTCTAAATTTAATACATTTTGAGTGGTATAAATGACATTGTTCAATATCCTCTCCAATAGTTGTGATTTAGAATCAGATCTAGAAGTCTGACCATGTGACATAGAAGCACGTGAAGTGGAAGCTCGAGATGTCGAAGCTGCTGAACTACTGGAAAATCCTCCATTCCAGCCAAAAATGGAATGAAGTGAATAAGATTTTACATTTACATTGGTAATGTGCTTAATAGGTTGCAAGATCTCTTCCCAGCTGTCAAATCTAACTCCAGCCTGCTTGCATAAAAAAAGATCAAGGATGCAAATCTCAAACCTGCAATAGTAGCGGCGACGGCAGTAACATTATGAATTAAAGCTCCAATGTCGATAGGTTTGAACTGTGCAATAGTTCAAAGTTGCTCAATCACGGGTCACTTCACTAAGATGATTGGTACGCAGCAAACAAGCAGACAAACAAGCAGAAATGAAATAATGTCATGCCTTTGCAGTGGCATCCAACTTTGAAGTGGAATTCGAAGTGGAAAAGCTAAATCTCCTTTCATTTGTAATTTTCCAAAGCTCTCTCATAGCAGTCAAAGATAAAATGATATCGTCTAACTCCTCCTCAGTAGGACTATAGTTTGAATAAAAATATAAAGTGCTCGGGGCAAATGATAAAATTGATTTATTACCTCAGGTGAAAAAGGTATTATCTTTCCCCTCACCATGACTCCTTTAGCTTCGGGGAGATTTGCATAGAACTCCCGCATTTGGGACAACTGAAAAACAACGGACCCTCTGCCACTGGCAGTGAACAATCAAATCTTCAATGGCTCCTCCCGGACTTTTAAAACATCGCCCAGGAATCAACTTTCTCGATTGCAGTGCATCACTGTATTGATCCTGAGCTCTAGCCCTAACAAAGTTGCTTGAATCAAATTGAGTCTTTCCCTTGCTCCTCTTCATTTTTGGAGTCATTTCTAAAAAATATATATAATTCACAATAAACTCAAATTCAACTCAAAATCATTAAAATTAACTCCTAAAGGCTTAAACTACCAATTCCATGTACTTTCCATAGATTTTTGTCAATTTTTCACCATGAATAGTGATTTTCGAGTAGGTCAAGAATGTCCTCAAAATACATGGTGAAAATAAAAAATTTCTACATAGAAGTGATGCTCTTACCTTAAAGATATCAAATATAGCAATACTTTCTCCAAATCACCAAGAAAACCTAAAAATAGGTGTACCCTAACTTCAAAATCACGAAAGCTCGAAGAAGGGGACGACATCAAGGTGTGAAAAAGGAGATTTTTGGATCGAATCGTTACTTAAAACCGTTCGCAAACTGGTTTACATGAATCAACACTTAAGCGCGAATGGTTCGGTGCTTAGGTGCTAGTCTCTCGGTTTAGGTAGTGCTTAAGCGCGGGGTCTTGGTGCTTAGGCGTAAGTGCACAAATTTTTATTTTTTTTAATTTAAGTGAAATACACTCTTAGCCTAAGTCAACCAACCCTAAATGGACTCATAGCTCTTTAATAATTATTTTCTTCCCTTTCAACTCTCCTCTTACTCAAGATTCATCAATCTTAACTAATTTGATTCAACGTAAAATTACACGAAATTTCACACAAACAAACACTTATATTCATTCACGAATGATTACAAACATTTTTAATACATAAATTCTCAATCCAAATAGTATTGGATGAGAAAATTCCTAAACACAAACATAGAAAATTCCTAAAAATTCCTAAACACAAACATTAGACAACCATCACATTAATAACATACTAAACACACTTAATAATAACAAACAAACACTAAACACACAAACAGTAAACCATTAACTTAATTTCAATCTCCATTTGGTGGAATGAATCCTGACCTATCATTAATCTCTCCTTCAGCATTTAGAATGTAAATCTGAAAGAACGGACTGGTCGGTGGTTAATAACACTGATTGAATCTCCTTCATTCCATTTGTTCTTAAAATACATAGTTGTTATGGCTAAGCTGCACCTTGATGTGCGTTAACTTCCATCACTTTAGCTTCAATTGAAGCCATGTCTGCCTCAATTTTAGTGATTTTCTCCGCTCTCTTTGATACTAACGACGAGGAAACTGTTATATAACTCTTATGCACTCTGACTAACAAATTTCTTCTTCATTGCCTTTTCTTTTTTCTTCAAATCACTCTCCTAAGATGACATTTTTCCAAAACTCTCACTTTTCACTCAGAATATAGGATTAAATAGAAGTGTAGTGAAACTTTTCCTCATACTCTTCTATTTTTAGGCTTTAAACCTCCCCTATAACTTCTAGGAAAGTCCTACAACTGCTCTCC